GAGAAATGGAAGCAACTCACCGAGCTCTGCTGACAGTTTCCCTTAAAAAGGAGAAAACAGAATTGGGTGCCATCCCAAGGATGCTCAATGGGTCACGATGGGGAACTCAGGGACACCAAACCCTCTGAGATGGGCTGAAACCTTCACAGTTCTGCATTTTTAAAGTACTTCCAATCCATTTCCCCCCCCCCCCCCAAATCATTAATTTCCTCCTTTCCCCCCCCCCACAAACAATTCCATCCCCTTTCCCCTTTTGCCCCCAGATGATTCCATTCCATTTCCCCTTTCCCAAATTCCATTTTTTAAGAATAACTCCATTCTATTTCACTTCTTCCCCCAGTGTTTCCATTCTATTCCACCTTCTCCTTCCAAACAATTCCATTTATTCCCATTTTTCTCCATCCTGCTCCTCTTTCTGTTGAAGCCACTCCATTTCCACAACACAAAGCCCCAACAGGGGCAGCAATTGCAGTGCAAACATCCCCAGCAACTGTATTTCTCAGCAAACCCAATTGCCACTTACTAATGAGGACGTCCCGTTCTCCTAAAAATTAAACAGAAAAGCAAAGAAAAATGAATAAATTTCATTTCCTCCCATTTTGCCCATTTCTTCCCAACGCGCCCGGCGGAAAAGAGTCACCCGGCTTTGCACATAAGCAAGGAGATGAATAAATAAGGGCATTTCTGCTCCTTTTCTCGTCTCCTGTGGTCTCAAAGAGGAGATTTTGGGGGCAGACTCTGGGATTTTGCCTTTCCCATTGGGGGGAATCACAGCTGTGGGGCAAAGAAAGGGACTTACGGGCATCGGAATCGCGGTCCTCTGCAAACAGAAGGGAAAAGGAAGCATTCATTTCCAGGAAAAATAATAATTACTCATTTCCCAAAGCACTGATTTCATTAATGTTGTGTTTTATCCCCTCCTTTCCCCCCCCCAAAAAAAAATGTTTTGTTTTGTTGCTGGATTTACTGATGGAAATTGATGCACTTACCAAGCAGCTCAGTGAGGCGCCCTTAAAGCAAAACAGGGAGAAAAAGGGGGGAAAAAAAAAGGAAAGAAAAGGAAAAGGAAACAAAAAGAAAAGAAAAAGTAATTAAAAATATATATATTCATTCAAAGCAGTGCTTTTAACACCAGTGATACAGAAATAAGGACTGAGACACCGATGCTGTTGGGCTGAACCCAAAACAAAGTGTTGACCATCACCATTCAGGTTCCCACGTGGAACCCAACCCATTTCATGACTCAAAAAACTCCATTTTTTTATGATTGTTTTTTTTCCCCCTTTTCATTCCCTTTTCAGCAAGGAAGTGGAACTGTTTCCTTCCAGCCCCAAATCGCTGGTTTTTTTTCTATGGGAAATTCTCTATTCAGTACGCAGGATTTCAAGCACTCCGCATTTGGGTTAAGCCAAAAAACCCTCAAATCATTGAGTTTATTTTTTATATTACAGAGGAAGAACTTTTCCATCATAAAAGAGAGAAGAAAACACTCACTTATCTCTGCTTCATGTTCTCCTAAAAGGAAAAAGGGGACGAAGAAATAGGAATTACTGCTTTTGATCCACACTGCATCGCTGTGCTGCTACTGATGCTAAGATTCTTGGGTTATTTTATTCCTTTTTAAAATGCTGCTGATGCTAAACATATAAAACATAAAAAAATTATAAATACGTGTATATTGGATTTATAACATTCACGTTGTGGGGATGAAGCCCAGCACAGCCCCCTGGCTTTGGGGTGATACTCACTGATTTTCAGATCGCGTTCCTCTGCAAATAAGAGAGAAATAAAGAGAAATCAGGGCCTGGCTGTGCTCAGCCCACAGCGCAGACATTCAGGTTCATTTTGAGGTGATTTTTTTTGGCTCAAAATCTGTGTTTTTGGGGTCTGTTTATTCATCCGAGCCTTCGATTTGAAACGTGAGTCTAATAGAAATTGCCCCCGTCCCATTCAAAACTTCAGAGATGTGAAAACAATCCCAGATCAACGCAACTGAGCTGAAGGAAGAAGGAAGGAAAGGGGAAGGAAAGGAGGGGAAAAGGAGGGGAGAAAAGGGGGGCTGGAAGGGGAGGGGAAGGGGGGAGCAAAGGGGGGAGCAAAGGGGGGAGCAAAGGGGGGAGCAAAGGGGGGAGCAAAGGGGGGAGCAAAGGGGGGAGCAAAGGGGGGAGCAAAGGGGGGAGCAAAGGGGGGAGCAAAGGGGGGAGCAAAGGGGGGAGCAAAGGGGGGAGCAAAGGGGGGAGCAAAGGGGGGGAGCAAAGGGGGGGGAAATGCAGGAGGAAAGGGGGAGGAAAGGGGGAGGAAAGGGGGAGGAAAGGGGGAGGAAAGGGGGAGGAAAGGGGGAGGAAAGGGGGAGGAAAGGGGGAGGAAAGGGGGAGGAAAGGGGGAGGAAAGGGGGAGGAAAGGGGGAGGAAAGGGGGAGGAAAGGGGGAGGAAAGGGGGAGGAAAGGGGGAGGAAAGGGGGAGGAAAGGGGGAGGAAAGGGGGAGGAAAGGGGGAGGAAAGGGGGAGGAAAGGGGGGGGAAAAATCCCCCCAAAAGAGAAAACCAAACCCAAGGAGGGAATTTCCTTACCGAGTTCCGCCGCGTGCTTCCCTTAAAGAGAAAAGAAATGGGGATTCAGTGGTTCAGATCTTCTCCCAGTGCCATCACTGATTAATTAATATCAATATATATCTGCTCATTAATTAATAGCAATATATATGTATATCTGCTCAACATTGCCAAAACTGTGACGTTCAATGAGTCGCCCTCAAACGTGCAGAAATGTGGATTTAAAGAATAAATCCCCAGTGGGAAAAGGCCTCAGGTGGGAACATTTTGGGGTCTCATTCCTGGCTGTGTTTCCCTGAGCCCACGCACAGAAACCCAGAGGCATTTCCACTCTAAAAACCTCAGCCCCCAGCAGTGTTGGTGCTCAGGTTTGCTGCTCATCACCTTCAGAATTAAAACACGCTTTTGGTGGCTGCAGCGCATGGAAGCATCAAATAAATTCATTACATTTAACCCTTAATGGGGAAAATTAAAGGCACTTACGAAGTTTCCTGCTGTAGTCCCCTAAAAATAAGCAGAAAGAAGGGATTATTATGTATCTGATGAGCCATTTCTGCTCACGTCGATGGGGGAGAGACTCACCAACTTCTGCAGTGAGTTCCCCTTAAAAGAGAGACGAAAGAAAAATGTTATTTTCTAATTTAGCCTTTTTTCTGTCGATTCATAGACGACTGATGGTGAATTATCAGCAATTTGACCCCAGCTGCACATTAACATTAAATTGATGCAGTTTCCTCCTTTGCAATGGTGGAGGCAAGCCCCTCACGTACCGATTTTGGTGTGACGCTGCCCTGCAAGAAGAGAAAAGCCACAAGGGGGTTATTTGCCATCGTTTGTGCATCCCAAATTCCAACCCCTTCATCATTAATTTCCTGCTGTGGGCTGAAGGCGAATTTGCTTTGATGGATGCGATCCACAGCTCCAATTATTTGGTGTCAATTTGGGGGGGGTTTCGTTACTTCTTTAATTCTGCCTTTAGGATATTTAGGTTTTCATCAGGTCAAGGAAACACGTGGAAAAAGGCAGAAATAATTACATGTGTTATAATAATAATATAATGCATGTTATTATAATATATAATATTACATAAATTAGATATTGCATCATTATATATATATAATATATGTTATATTATCATTATATATTATTTACTTATATATTTATATATAAATAAATAATATTTATTATATTTATATTTGTAATTTATAATATATATTATATATTTATATATATAATATATATTATATTTATAATGTAATACATTTATATATTATTAATATATAATTATATTATATAATATATATCATATTACATATTGCATGGTTAATATATACTATGCATATATTATAATATATAATAATATATAAGCATATATATGTATATGTAGCATATAGTACATAATGAACATAATATATAGCAATCATACAATATTTTATAATCATAATATTATAATTTTATGATTAATTATAATCATAATTATTATGTTATATATTATATGCTATATATTATAGGTTATATATTATGCTATATATTATAGGTTATATATGTTATATATTATATATTATAATATTTCATAATCATAATATATAATAATATAAAATACACATCATATAAATCCCACCCAATAATAATAACTAACATAATAATATGCATAAGGCAAGCATTGATGCAAGCTAATAAATAAAAATGATAACAAAAAATGCAATGTGGAAAAAGGCATAAGCAAATAACTGTGCAGCAATCTGTACAAGCAGCAGTAATAATATTGATCCATATTATTAATGCTACTAATAGGTGGTAATTAAGAACACACATAGAAAGGCAGCAGACTCACCGAGTTCCACTGTGAACAGCCCTGAGAGCAGAAAATGCCATCAGACCCCCTTGCACTGCTGAAACACCCCGAGGTTTTCCCTCCCCCCTTTGAAATTTGGCTTTGATTTCCCCAATATCTGCAAAGATTCCCTCGAGTGACCCGAATTCTGTTGGATTTGAGGAATTCCGGCCTCATTTCTGTGCTGAAACAGCAGGAAATCACCCCGAGGTGGAGGAACAACACGTGGAGCAGCACTTACTGATGGTAGCATCGCATTTAGCTACGGAAAACAAGAAGGAAAAATGAGTAAAAGCAGATTTCAATTGGTTTTCAGGTTGTCCTGACCTCTATCAATCGGTTTATTTCCACTTTATTTCCATAAATACTTCCATTTATTTCATGGGAATGGGGAAGTAAAAGGGCTTACCGAGTTCTGCCGTCAGTTTGCCTGAAGAAAAAGGGGAAAATTAAAGTTTGCTTTACATCAGATCCCTTCTTTTCCCTTTCAGAAATGAAGTCGTTCAGGAGCCATCCTCTATCAGTAGGGATATCTGCTTTACATCCAATTTATCTTCTGGTTCACAGGGCAGGTAGCAGCAATAAGGTGCAATAAGGTGCAGGGGCATCGTAGCACAAAGCGAGCCATGAAGCCATGCCATAAAAACACAGCGCTGCCATCAGGCAGGAGAGGAAATAAGGAAGAAAGGCACGGATTCAAGCACGACCCCCATTTAGGATCAATGTAAGGGGCAGAGAAAAGCAAAGCTTGGGGAAAACTGTGCTGAAAAGGAGAGATTTTAGGGGCATGGAGAGGAAAAGCCACGTTTAATCAGGAGGAGGAAGGCACTCACGGAGCTTGGAGTCACGGTCCCCTAAATGGGAAAGAAAGGAGGAAATAAGGTTAAAATACACATTTTTCACACTCCTGCCCTCGGATGGCAGCTCTGCTCAATGCCATTTCCCCACTTCCCCCCATTTTGAGTCCATTGCAAATGAAGCGAAGCACAGAAACGAGCTGCCTGGGTGCAGAGTTCCCGTTTTTAAGGGCTTTCAGCCCAAAACCACGCGTGGATTTAATGGCACCACTCACCCAGCAGCGCAGTCAGTCTGCCTATGGAACAGGGGAAAAACAAACAACAAAAAAGCCATTATTTTAATTAAAACAGCGAAAAAATGCAAGTCTGAGAATGCAAAGAAACGGTTCAGATTGGGGGAGAAAAGGACTTACGAATTTCTGCTGAGAGTTTGGCTGCCAAGGGGGGAAAAACCAACAGGATTATCGGCCTGCATCACGGATCCCTTCCCCAAATTAAGGGGTTTTGGCCCCAAAAATGGGACACTCACTGATTTTCCTATCGCGTTCCTCTGGGAAGGAAAGAGAAAGAAGAAAATTAATATTAATCACCTCCCTTTCCTCCACCCGTTGGCCCCAGCACACTCAGATCGTTGCTTTTATTTCTCACCTCCCAGTCTATAAAAGCCAAAATCCCACTTTTTTGGGGGGGAAATTTACTCCATCCTCACCAATAAACCCACGTTTCTCACACACCAGAAATCAATTCTTCAGATAAAAAAATAAATCCAAATATTCTTAAATAGCCTTAAAAATACCCAAAATGTTCTTAAATATGAGGGGGGGGGAAGAGCAGCTCCACTCACTGAGCTTTGTGTCAACGTCACCTGAAAGCAAGGAGAGAAAATAAATGGAGAAATGCAGAGCAGCCCAAATCCAACCAAAATCATCATTTATTTTCCTCTGTTCTCTGAACTTTCTGTTCTTTTCAATATTTTACCCCATTTCATCCTTTTTACCTCCGTTTTTAAACATTATCCCAATGCATCCCTCATTTGTGTTTTAAAAGTAAGGCTTTTTAAGGACATCTGCTTTCATTCACCCCGATCTTCAAGCAGAGGAAACCCCAAACTCTTCACACATACACACATACACAAATATATGCAAATATATACAAATATATATGAATGAGTACATGAATGAATGAATGACTACATCTATAGGAACTCATGAGCGCATCTATAGGAATGAATGAACGTGTGCATGCATACACTTCCATACACACATTTTTCCACTTCACACCCAGCACTTCTGCAGAATTAGGGATAATTTAATAGGAATAAACCTTACCAAGGTCTGATGTGAGCTTTCCTTAAAACAGAGAAACAGATGAGCATTAGTTTCAACTCTGACACATAACAAAATGCATTCACTGATTTCTCCCCCCAAGCAAGAACCCATCACCCCCCAATTCATTCCAGAAGGAAAATGGCACTTACTGATTTTCCTATCACGTTCCTCTGGAAGAGAAAACAAAGAGAAACGCTGTCAGAATTCCACCTGGTGGAACCACCTTCCAATTTGTAATCATTACAACCTGCAGTTCTGTGGGGTCGGAGCCTCCTCCCAGCCCAGGTTGGGTCACATTTGTGTGTGTTTATGGGGGGAATAAGCATTTTTTGCCCCTAAAAACCCAGCAGAGAAACGAAGCAGAGAGCAAAGGGAAGCACTCACCAAGCTCTGCAGTCAGATTGTCTTGAAAAAGAGAAAGAAAGAAACCATTTCTCATGGGCTTCGCCACCCCTTGGCTCAGAAAACAACGTCACCCAACAACCACCATTTCTGCAGCCCCTCTGTTGGCTTTTTGTTGGTTTTTACCCCAATATTCGTGTGAAAAGTGAGGGATAAACCCCATGGGAACCAGCTTAAGATGCACAGAGCCTTTATTGGTGGGAGGCACAAATAGTGTCTATGTAGTCTATAATCACACACGACACGTAACCACAAATGACTTACCAATCTCAGCCACGAGTTCCCCTTAAAACAGAGAAAGGCATCAGAATATCCATTAAAAAAGGGGAGATTTGCTGGAAGCTCACCTCTGGGCCAACCCTCAGCCCCCCCAAAGAGGACACTCACCATCTTCTGTGTCACATTCCTCTGGAAATAACATAGAAATGGACGTGGGTTAACCCAGAGGAGCAAAAAGGACCCCCAAAATGCCCAAAGCTTTGCTCCTCCTCCTCCAGTTCTGCATCCTGACTCAGATGCCGACAAACCCAAGAGCTGAAGGGCTTCTCCCAGTCCCCACTGCTGCACCTTTGCACCTTGACAAGAAGCCCAAGGCACTCACCGAGCTCCGTGTCACTCTCTTCTAAATGGAATAAAGAGAGATGCATGCACACACCTCGGTCATCGCTGATGGTAAAGGTGTCGAGACGTGCATTCGGACTGAATAAAATAAGCGACTTACCAAAATCTTCTGTTAGCTTCCCTTAAAACAGAGGAACTCGCGTTAATTCAGGCCCTCCACACTCAGATCTCACCATAAAGGCAGAGGGAAAAAGGGCACTCACTGATTTTTGCGTCCCATTCTTCTAGAAGAGAGACAGAGAGAGCGCTCAGCCCTGCGCCCCTCTGTGGGTGCTGCAAAGTCCCCTCCAGAGGCACTTCTGCACCCATTTAATGCTTTTCTATTGAAAATAATAGCCCAAAAATGGCACTGTTCATGAATTTATCTAATGTGGGGTTTGTTTTCATGCGTTTAAGATATGGGGAAGTGTAAACATAAGGGAAGAATAAAGGAAATGGGTATCAGTGGGAGGTACGTGTATCCATCTCTATGCATGGAAAGGGACTTTTTGATGGAAACAGGAGGAAAATCACTCACCAAGATCCGCGTTCCTCTTCCCTGAATGAGAAAAAATATGGGAAAAATGGAAAAAAAAAAACAGATCTGGAACATTGGTTTGCTGATGAACAGCACCTCGTGAGCTCTACCTGATGCCATCATCACGTCCTCTTCCCAATCAGAACCACTTCCAAATGTCCACCTGATGGGAGAAGAGGAAACATCGTTAAAAGATCACAATTAGGAGACAAGCAGACCTGGAATCTCCCACCTTCCTGATGCCCAGAATAAATGGGAGATAAATGCCTAGAAATAAATGGGAGAAGGGATAAATATTTGGGGCCACTGATGTTTTATGCTGCTTTTCAGTTTGTGGACTTCGTCATTGGAGATGGTTTTCTGGGTCTGCACTGTGAAGATTGGTGAAACTGTGGCTGAGATGATTTATATCTGAATCAAAGGAATCTGCTGACCCCCAAAAGGGGCACAAAAAGGGCCCAGCCCTCAGGCATCTCTCTTAGATGTCCACAGCACCATGAATTCCACTCTATCCCATATGCAAACCACACCAGGAAGTTGTTACGAGTTCATCCCTATGTTCACAATGGCATCAGTGTCCTAAAAGCCCTAAAAATTCCTATTCACTACAGTGGCGGAGGTGAAAAAGCTGTGAAAAAGCAAAAAGCCCCACAGGAAAAGCAGAAATCTCAATGGGAACAGGCAACAAATCGCACAGGAAGGGCAACAGATCCCATAGGAAACCAATCAGGCTTTGTTTGCTGGGTTCTACCCCTGTAGATCCCACTGGGGTCTCAGTCAGATAAACGCTGTTACGAGGAGCTAAATTTGTGCCAAGAAAGCAGAGGAAGCAGCCCCAATGATTTCTGTGTTGCATTTCCCTACGAGTGAAATAACGCAGAAGAACCCGTTGCTCTTTCAATCCTTCCCCTGCTTTCCAGTGCTGTCGGATTCAGGTACAGGATTCTAAAAGGTTGTTTTGCTCCTCGCTACCGCAAACGGATCGCGTTTCTCCTGCATCTCCCAGGTCCCACAGAGCCAATAGGATCCCCCCAAATCCTGGGCTGTGGGAAGAAAGAGAAAGGCTTACCCCGACCTGCGCCTTGGTCACGTTGTGCCTGCTTTGCTCCTTGCTGCTGTGATGGTCACGTCCGTGGGGGGCTGGAGATTTTTTGGCAGCTCCCAGTTTGTCCCAGGAGGGCAGGAAATGGGTATTTAGGATTGCTGGAGGGATTGCGTGTCCGCAGGGAGCTGGAAGGGGTCACTGCAGGCACGACAGCTGTGCTGGCAGCAGGGGGACGTTCCCAGAGCCTAATTATAGCCTACCTAAATGCCGAGGATGGCAGGAGGGACGGGGAGCCCTGTATAGACAGGAACAGGTTTCTGCAGGGAAGGGTAGAAATGGAGGGGAGAGCTGGTCGCCTCTCTGCTCTCAGCCATGGGTTGGTTGGAGGATGTGGTCTGTGAGCAGACCCCAATCCCAAATGGGGCAGCGCTGGTTTCTGGGCACCAATGGGGCAGCAGCCACTCCTGGCCCCAAATAACGTGACAGCACTGTTGAGCAATGCCCTAAAATAAAGAGATATGAAATGAGCTCATGCCTATTCCTTTCTACTTTCCCCCTCCTGCTCATCAGGACAGAGGGCACCTCCTCCCCCACCCGCAGTTTCTCAGCATTTGGGATTATTTCACAGCATTTCCTCCTGGCTTCCTTCAATCAGCCAAACAAGCACAAAAATGCAGCGCATTCCCACAGATAAACTCCTATTCCTGTATTTCTTTTTTGCTGCTGAACAACATGAAACGATGTGAAGTTAATAAAGGATGTCTAAGGTTGTTGATCTCACTCTGAATTAAGTCACTGGGGACCTTTGCTGCCTCAGAAGTAAACAAAGAAGGATACGTGTGCAATATAAGAATTTCAGAAGGGATTTGTCAACCTCCAAACCCAAAAGGGGATGAGTGGATGGAGAAGGGGTTCGTTATGGTGATAGAAAGGGAACCGTAGGGGCACCCGAAGGGTTTTCCCTTAGAAGAATGTGGCCGCTGGCTCCAATCTGGGCTCTTCACATCACTCAATGCTTTAGGAAAGCAAATCCTCCTGCTGTGATCCAGCAGAAAACCCTGGGAGAGATTCCTTCATCCTGGAGAGCTGACGCCCATTTCACCTTTGCCATTTGAGGTCTCCAAATCTGGAACGTCTGGAGTGAAATTCGAGAAGCTGCGCTCACAGGGCTGTGAGAAACGACGTGGTGGTGTCCAACAAATGGCTCCTTACCTACGGGGTCATCCAAGCAAATCATTCCCACTACGGCGCTTGATGAGTCATGCCTGTTTTGGGGCAATTTTCTGGATTTTAAGACACGTTGGCACTTCAAGATGTGTTATTCCTGGCTCTGGAGGCGTCTTGGCTGAATGTTGCAAAAAATATGAGCCTAAATGGGTTTAGAAAGGGCCAAGACTGAATTATTTCCTGCTTTAGGGATTTATCTGTGTATCATCAAATAGAGACAAAAAGTTTTATATTAGGTGATAAAACCAAGGTGAAAATGCAAAACTGTTGCTGGAAAAAGACAGATCTAATAATAAGAATGATCTGCTGATAAGGACAGATAGAAAAAGGCTGATGAGTCAAAATGGGGGCGGAACACAAAAGGACGCCAAAAATTTGTAAATATCACCATCAACCACTGCTCACTCGAATGGGTGCTGAGCAATGGGGAGGGGTCACAGCCCCCAAACAGCAGCGTGGGAGGGATGGGAAGGGAAGGGGAAGGGAGGAGGACACAGTGCTTCCCTGTTTGCCTTCCTGGGTCAGATCCTGCTCGGGCATCACAAAGCTGGACTGGCTGTGGGATGCAGGACAGCTGCAGGTGATGAGCACAGGCTGCACGCCCCGCTCTTCCCTGTCCTGGCACAACAGGGATAATAAAAATATTAAATATGAAAGGCTGAATAATAGAAAATGTTAAAGAAGTTGTCCTGCCCGCACCACGTGTCCCTGCTGCGGCAGAGAAAAGCCTTCCCTGTCCGCCTCCAAAGCCCATTCCCTCATTCAGCGTGCCCCCCTATGGGCGCCGCCATCTTGACCCCCTTGCCGTACAACGCAGCGGCTACTTCCGCTTCCGCCGGAAGTCACCGCCCTCTTTCTCTCTCCGCGCTGGCGGCCATCGCAGGCGGTAGGAGCGGATCGGGCCGGGCCCTCGATTGAATCCGCTGCCATCCTCCCGTCCCGCCGCCGCCATGACGGAGCAGATGACCCTCCGCGGTACCCTGAAGGGCCACAATGGGTGGGTGACGCAAATCGCCACCACCCCGCAGTTCCCGGACATGATTCTCTCCGCGTCGCGGGGTGAGGGCCGCGCCTGAAGGGTTCGGGCCTGGTCCGAATGGGGGGGGGCGGAATATGGGAATGTGGGGGTGAGAGGAGGGACTGGGAGGCCTATGGGGGATGACAATGAAAGTGGATAAGGAGAGACAACAGTGCTTGAGGAAGGGGCTTTGGGGGAACCATGGCAGGGGGGAGATGGAGGGTGCAGGGCTTGGGGACGGGGAGCTGCAGGGCGGGGAGGGAATTGTGGGGCCTACGGGGGAGCTGAAGGGGAATAAGGGGAGACCATCAGTGGTAGAAGAGGGGGCTGGGGGGGAACCATGGGTGCGAGAAAGGGTGGAGATAGGGTGTACAGGGCTTAGGGACAGGGAGCTGCAGGGTGGGGAGGCTGCTGTGTATGAGGACATAGGGAGGGGTTGGAGGGTTGAGAGGAAAGGGTGCTCTGTGTTACCTTCACATTGCTATGGGGGAAATAAAACCCTGTGAGGACAGGAATATGAGAAGGGATGGAACTGATGGTGCTGCCTTTCCCCCCTTCCAGACAAAACCATCATCATGTGGAAGCTGACCCGCGATGAGACCAACTATGGGATCCCGCAGCGCGCCCTGCGCGGCCACTCACACTTTGTCAGCGATGTGGTCATCTCCTCCGATGGGCAGTTTGCACTGTCGGGTTCGTGGGATGGCACCTTGAGGCTGTGGGACCTCACCACGTGAGTCCTGGGGACAAAAAGGGCTTTGGGGTGGAGGGGTTTGAGGCAGAGCTGGGCTCTCTGCTTTCTTTGGGGGTTGAGGTGGGTGAAAGGTGTGCAATGCAGCATGAAAATGAGGTGAGTTCCTCTTAGGTTGGGTGATAAATCCTGCTGGGAGGGAGGACCGAAGCGATTCCTCCCTCAGCTCCCTCTCCCAGTGATTACACCTGACACAGTGTGCTGATCCTCCGGGATCTGAGGACACGTCCTGCAATTATGATGGGAGAGGAGCAGGTGGAGCAGCACAGGGGGTTTGGTTCTTCCTTCACCATCTGTACCCCATCACTGTGGGGTACAGACAGGAGCAAGCAGGCTTTTCTTTCAGTGTGATTTTGGGATGCAGAGTTTGGAGTGAGCTTGGAGCAGCTCCAGCTCTTCTTTCACTGCGATTTTCGGTGTGCTGGAGGAGAAGAAACTCAGGAAGCAGAACTACCTCAGCCCTCCAAAAGCGTTCAGCATTTACACTGCTGTGTCCATAGAAGCTGAGTTTTATATCCTAAACTCCTCACGGTTATTGCAATCCCATATCAAAAGCTTTGGCACCCTTTAGCATTCCTATTTGGAAGGAGGAAAGGAGCCAGCACTCTTCAACCCAGATGGAAAGTGCAGATTGCCCCGTTTTATCTTGCTTTTCATTCAGAATTCAGGCAGTGCAGCAGGATCTCCTCAATGGATGGGAGGCTTAATTAATTTAATTGTGCTTCGCTGAGCTTTGTCCCTCCCGTGTGACCCTCCTGGTGTCCCTGCAGAGGAACCACCACGCGCCGCTTTGTTGGCCACACCAAGGATGTGCTGAGCGTCGCCTTCTCCTCCGACAACCGTCAGATCGTTTCGGGCTCCAGGGACAAAACCATCAAACTCTGGAACACTTTGGGTGTCTGCAAATACACGGTGCAGGTGAGGCAGCGGGTCTGAGTTCTCACACTGTGAAAACAACCCCCTCTCTGCTCGTTTCTGAGGCCGTGTTCCCACGTTTCTCTCCTTGCTGTGTTGGTTTCGATCCATAATCCACAGCTGCCAGCTCCGGCCTAATGATTCGAAGTGACACGGTGACCTGCTGACCTTTCTTTCTGGGGGGTTTGAGGACACGTCCTGCAATTATGAGGGGCTCTTGGAGCGGTGGGATGCAGCAGCTCGGGTTGGGGATGCTTTTCGTTGCTCTCAACCCAGCGCTGTTCCTCTCCTCAGGATGAGAGCCACTCCGAATGGGTTTCCTGCGTGCGCTTCTCCCCCAACAGCAGCAACCCCATCATTGTCTCCTGTGGCTGGGACAAGTTGGTGAAGGTGAGAGGAGCGGCTCCTTTGGGGTCTGTGCGACGTCCTGGGGAGGATTTGAGCAGTGATCAGGAGAGGGTTGGTTGTTTTCTCCTCCGTATTTCTGACCCTGCCACCTTTGTACCCTCGTCAAGGTTTGGAACTTGGCTAACTGCAAACTGAAGACAAACCACATTGGCCACACAGGATATCTGAACACGGTGACCGTCTCCCCTGATGGCTCCCTGTGTGCTTCTGGAGGCAAGGTACACCCTGGGGGGAGACTGAGGCTGAACTGCAGCCTGTTCTGGTGTCCTCACAGCTCAGTGCTGCGCCTCTTGTTATCCTGTGACAACTCACCCACATCTCACTCACAAACCGAGAGCTGTTTCCATGCCAGAAGGTTTTAGAGGGACAACTGGAACGAAGCCACGGGTTTGATGGTTTGCTGTGATTCCTCTTTGCTGCCCCCCAGGACGGCCAGGCCATGCTGTGGGACCTGAACGAAGGCAAGCACCTGTACACTCTGGATGGAGGGGACATCATCAACGCGCTGTGCTTCAGCCCCAACCGCTACTGGCTCTGTGCTGCTACCGGCCCCAGCATCAAGATCTGGGTATGGGACGGCCCCCTTTCTCCCCATAGAACCACTTTTCTTAATCCTGTGGGTTTGGGGGCAGCTTTGCAGTCGAAATCCCTGCTGATCTCGTGGTGCAGAGCCCTTCTGGTCACGTGGGATGGGTCGCCCTGGGGGCACTGTCCTCATCCCCTGCACCGGGAGGGTGGTGTGGGGCATCTGTGGGGCACAGCCACTGCTCTGCTGTGATGAAACTTCGATGCCATCTGACTGCATCCCTGTGGGGAAACCCAGAGGCTGTTTCTGAGCACCCCACTGCCTGTTGTGAGTTAGAAGGGTTGGGTTTGGCTACAACAATCTCCCTGCAGGAACTTGAATCCCCTCACGCTCTCTTCTGTCCTGCACAGGACCTGGAAGGCAAAATCATCGTGGATGAGCTGAAGCAGGAGGTGATCAGCACCAGCAGCAAAGCTGAGCCACCCCAGTGCACCTCTCTGGCGTGGTCTGCGGATGGGCAGGTAGAAGCATCCCCTCCTCCTCGCAGCCTTAAAGCTCCCAGCTCCTTCCAGCACCTCTGCCTTGGGGAGCTGCCTCCTGAGGTCTTTACCTTCGTACCCTGAAGGCTGATTTCTGTCTCTTCCTGATCCATTTCCTCCGTTTCTCTCCTCAGACGCTGTTTGCTGGCTACACAGATAACCTCGTCCGGGTGTGGCAAGTCACCATTGGAACCAGATGAGGACGTGGTAACAGCACACAGATTTTATGCACAAACCTCAATAAAAGAGCGCTCTGTTGAGCTCATGGCTGCCTTATGTCCCATTCTGGACTTGGCACCAAGTGCCCACAACTGTAAGGATGGGGACATCGGTGCTCTCCTCTCACATTTGGAAGAAGGGACTCAAACGTCTCCCTGAGCCCTTTGTGGAGCAGTAGCAGCCCACAGTGAGTGCAGACCTGGGGAAGTAGAGCCATGGACAAAAAGAAACCACCACCAATAGAGGCACTAAAGATGCTGTGAGAGCAGAAGAAGTGGTAGCACAGAGCTTGGTTCACCCAGCAGCCTCCATGCCTTCACAAGGTGCTGAAGGGAAACAGCCCAAACCCAATTACAACTCATTACCTTAAGATAAATGATGCAAGGCTTAAGTCACATCTTACCAGCAGGAGTTAACAGGTGGGGCTGCACCAACTGCGGGCTCTCAATAAGCAATAGGCTCAGCTTTAAAACTTTATTCTTTATTATTATTATTATTTCTTGACATTTCAAAAAACTAGATCTCCATTTAATTCTTATTTTAGCCAAAAATATTTTGAACTAGCTCTGTAACGCCAACAGGAAAAAAAAAAAATACCAATCCACCAACAAAAAGAAGTAAAACACAACAGGGTGCGATCAGAGTCTCTCTGGTGGGACAGGATTCAGCTGAAAATTCAACAGCAGCTGAGAAAAGGGAAGAGAAAATAAATATCCCCACCTCAGAGAGCTCTTAAGCTGCGAGGGGAAACGAAGCTGCTTCCCACCGCTGCGGCGCTGCGCTCTGAGCGGCCTCAGAGGTGGAAGCTGCCTGATTTTTTGCACCCTCCCCGGCCTACGTGGCCCTAAATAAAGTGCCAGGCCCACAAGAAATGGTTGGCGAGGGAACGACGGGGCGGAGGGAAGAGCTGGAGACCCCCAGAGAGGGGAGGAGGAGCAAAAGGGGAAGGTGGGCAAAGCGGCAGAACAAGGAGGACGTGGAAGGTTTGAGGTCCGGATGGCGGCTGGGTGGGAGGGGGGGCAGAAGGTGGTGCCCCAGAACTGGAAAATAAAAAGAAACGAGGCTCCTTGGTGCGCCTGAGTGAAAAGCTGATGATGGGTGTCAGGACGTACAGAGCCAGCTCCTCAGCTCGAGCTCTGCAACCAAAGAGCAAACAACGCAAAGCTCGACCGCGGGCTTTAAACAGAACGGGGAACGGCACGCTGCAAAGCTGCTGCAGAGGGCTGGGAAAGGCAGAGGGCAGCCCGTAGCACCAAGAGCTGAAGGGAAAACCTCCAGCGAGGAGATTGGATCCCTTTTCCAAACCAAACCAGCCTGGGATCGCGACCCCGGAGAAGAGCTGGGACGAGGACAGAGGCTGGGACAGGGGAGAGGAGGGAAGAGGCCTTGTGAGCAAGCAGGTGCGAGACAACAAGTGCAGCGTCGGGTCCCAAAGCGGGACCCAAAGGATGGGGATCGGGGGGAA